CTGCCCTGCAGCACCCGTCCAAATGGTGAGAACTGGAGGGGCTGCTCCTTATTATTACTGTTAAGATCCCAATCAGAGGGCCCAGTGAAGGGATGCCCAGGCTTGACAAGAACAGAAACTGAAACCATAAACGTGTGATGTTCTAAGCTAAGTTTGTGGTAGTGTGGTACACAGTAACAAAAACCTAATACAGCACAAGATGTATACTTGGTTGCTTCTGTTTTGATGGTCAAGACTACACATGAAGGCATCTCTCAAATGTACTTAAGTGAAAACTTATTTCTCAAATTAAATAATTAACATGGTTATTTTTCTTCCACAGAATCTGTTTTATTTAGAATAAAATTATATATAAGCTTAAGTGAAACATACTGACAATAAAGATGAAATAGAGAAATTTTCCTCTTCGTTTTTCTTAATGACTGTGATATTAACAGTAATATCATATTTCCATTTAGTCACTCTTAATACTTTCATGGCACATTCATTTAAATGGCTCAGTCCTTGCGCTTCCACCTTGCAGCTAACACAGTGCAAGAGTGTTCATAAGGCAGAGATGCTTTAAGACAAAGCAACCTGAAAGCCTCCTGCTTGGTTGGCCCCAGTTAGAGGACAAGCTGCCAGGATAGGGGTGGGCCAGGGACTGAGGAAGGCCCAGAGTGACACATGCTCTGAGTCACGCCCCCTCGTGGGCATTGGAATGGAGATTATGAGCATGTGACATCTCTCCTCAACAGCAGAAGCTGATATATGTGGAAAAAATGATGAAGAATTACAGCCCCAGAGGGACATAAAAACTAGGTGGGAAGGAGAGTCAAGGAAATAGCCACAAGGCAGAGAAATGACACACTAAGCCAAGCATAGTGAGGGTCAGACTGATGCAGGCACCAAGACCGCTCAGGGCTTCCCACACCAAGATGGCAAAAGAACCACAAGGCAGCTCGAGATGGTGTGTAGGGGGACAGGAGGGCACAATCATTTCAGCAATTCAAAAACAATGCTGCTGATACACATAAAATACATAAGTAACATCAAGA